GCCATATTAATAATGACACACTTCGCGCTTCGTTGCCGTTCCAGAGGTACGTTACTACGTTAGTATACAGTTCATTGGATACAATAAAAAGACGTGGATTCACCACTTAAAATAGCCTCAGAAATTCTTCTTCTCCGTTTTATTTTCATTATCCATTCTCAAATGATTGCCACAACATTGAGAGTCAATTGCACAAGGCTTGCATTAAGGAATTCTCCAGAGGTAAATAAAGATTACCACACAGAGGTTTCATCCATGGCCTAATCCACCATCTCCTTGATTTCCTTCTGCTTTTTCCTTGATATAGTAAAACAGCACTTAGTATTCCACTGGTTACAACGAACTGCTGCTGCTGCGATCCTAGATATGTTGAGATTGTGATAATTCATCATTTACTTATATTCATTCAACACCCAACAAAAATGGAAGTACCTACTTGGGTACTTTCCGGACTAGGCCTGGAAATGCTACTTTCTCAAAGAAAAAGCGTCCGGGAAGTAGGTACATCCCGGACGGTTGCCGAAAATAAATATTTCACAGCTCTTCAAAAGTAGGGCAAATTGAAATGAAAGCACTGTAGTACAGAGGGTGGCTTTAAATTTTGACCCCTACATACCGCTTCAACTATACGAGGTAGAAAAAAATTCAAATATGAGAGTTGTAGGGTTTCATCTGTACTATCTTTTGGCTCTCCTCAAACGAACAGATGCGCATCGCGAAATTGATGAAATGAGTCCAAATATATTTTTTTAAATAAAATACCCTGTATGTTTTCAACTCTAGTGAAAGATATTTTTTTCCTGTTTACAAATATATATAGTTTGCTAGTGTTTCCTTTAGCCGTTTTCACTTACTTATTTAGCTTATTTACAACAAAAATCAAAATTGTCAATAACATTTAGATGACCGTGGAAACAACAGAATGTCATTAATATCAGAACACAAAACAAACAAGTGGCAAAAGATAGTACAGTTGAAAGTTGAAACCATACAACTTTCATACTATTTGAAGTTTTTTTTCCACCTCATATAGTTGAAGCTGTATAGGTAGGGGTCGAAATATAAGGAGACACCCTGTACATATCTACCCAGCGAATATATATATTCGAATCTCGAAAACCTATTCGACACGTGTAACGACTATTTTTCATATTTGATTATAAAATAATTCCACTTTTATTCTTTATCCCTAAAAAAAATTGGCAGGTACGCCCACAATATTACACTTTTTTCAAAATCAATAAACCGTTGATGGAGGTAGCCTACCTAGGTATTGCTCAATCAAGGAATGAACACATGATTTTAATAAAATATTTTCAATCCGAAATAGGCACCTACCTATATAAAATATTTTCGTACGCCTTTGAGAATTTAATTCGAATGGGACATGAAGGCCAAGTAGAATTAAAAATGAAACGGCGTGCTTGTTTTCCATTCTGTTTCGATACGTCGTGTGTCGTTGGTTGTCGTAGGTATCGAAGTAGAATAAGAATGAATATTCGCATTGCAATTAAGAATTTGTATACCTATGCCATGGATATTCAAGTCAAAATAGAATGATATTTCATTCTTTTGTCACTTGGCAGTCACAGACATCAAAGTAACATGAAAACTCAAGTCGCATTCGAATGTTATTTGATTCTTTTGCCAGTTGAATTTCCATTACACTTTGAGATCGCGGACATCAATGTGGAATAAAAATCAAGTCGCATTCGAATGTTATTTGATTATTTTGCCAGTTGAATTTCTATTACACTTTGAGATCGCGGACATCAAAGTAGAATAAAAATGAAGTCGCATTCAAATGTTATTTGATTCTTTTGCCAGTTGAATTTCTATTACACTTTGCGATCGCGGACATCAAAGTAGAATAAAAATGAAGTCGCATTCAAATGTTATTTGATTCTTTTGCCAGTTGAATTTCTATTACACTTTGCGATCGCGGACATCAAAGTAGAATATCAAGTCGCATTCGAATGCATTTCAATTCTTATGTCACTTGCATTTTCATTTACATTACACTCTGCTGTAGCTGACATCGAAGTAACATGAAAATTCATATGGCATTCGAATGTTATTCAATTCTTTTGTCACTTGCGTTTCCATTACACTTTGGCCTCACTGACATCGAAGAGACATTTTAACTAAGTCGAATCCAAATGGGACTTTGATTTCAATTGCATATGAACGGTTGCGACAGCTTATATGCAATGGATGTTGAAGTAGCAGAAAAATGAAAGCAGAAATAAAATTAAAGTTGAATGAGAAGTAACGTTACATAGAAATCAAAGTAGAATGAGAATGCGAGTACAAAAGTATCTATTATATATGTTATGGCACATCAATTTCCATTGCATGTTGGTACCACGAGTCTTCCGTATAGCAAAAAAATTGACTTGGAATGGAAATGTAACTGACATTCAAATCAAAGTGATATAAAAAAACAGTAGCGCCATCTAGCACCGCTTCTGAGAAAAAAAAATTTCCTCTTTCCCAGAGAGGACGCCAGTAGTTTTCCATGTTACTTGAATCGTTTTGTCACTTGTATTTTCATGGCATGTGAAGAGTTTGCTTCTTACAGATGCAATATAATTCAATGTTCCATAAAAATGCATGTGTAATAGAAATTCATTTTTCAATATGCCATTTTTTAAAGTCATACAACTAAAAGGGTAATGTGGAATTTTACATCCAATTTTTTTGTGAATAAAAACTATATATGGCCGTTTTACATTTCAATTGTTCTTAGCATCGATGTGATATTTCAAATTGTAGTACATTTCAATGGCATTTGTGAAAATGTGGACAAATTCAATTTCCATTCTATTTTCAAATTGAAACAACATTTCTACTTGGAATTGAAAAACGAAATGGCTTTCTATAATTCCACTTGTTAAGAACAGTTGTCGCATATATAAAATTTTATAGATTACATTCTGCTGTACTGCATGTACCATAAAAATACATATTATTCTTATTCAATCGAGCATGAAAATATTGTTTCAAATTTCTATTTGCAATTGAAATGCTTGTGGACAAAATAGAAATCAATTCCCGATAATGAAATTGAATATATTTCCCATGGAAATTGATAGGCAGGATACATTCACATTGCTATGTCCAATGCGTTAAGGTAATAAAATTACTATTAACAATGTGAATACCAATTCTGATAATGAAAACTATTCTATTAAAATTATGTCAACTAGAATGAAAAATAAGTAACATTGAAATGGAACATTCAGTCCATGTCGAATAAAAAATAAAACGGCGTTCCATAAGTGGTTGAGGCTAAAGCATTTGGATTATTTTTTTTTTTCGGATGAATAGGGGCCTATATATCAGAGCTACATTAGAAAAAAATATTTTTTTTGCAACCGACACAAAAGTCGTCCATTTTGATACCAAAATTAGCTCTTACTAAGCGTTAAGGCTAAAGCATTTGGATTATTGTTTTTTTTCGGATGAATAGGGGCCTATATATCAGCGCTACATTAGAAAAAAATATTTTTTTTGCAACCGACACAAAAGTCGTCCATTTTGATACCAAAATTAGCTCTTGAATTGACGTTTCTATTACTGACACAAAAATAGGTATGTTGCCCCCTAGCAACGTTCCAAGAAATCCTGATGAAATTGGTATTGACTGCCTTGGCTGAATTCCTTGCCTCGCTACGCTCGGCTTTGAACTATCAGCCGCGGCAGTCAATCTACTACTTTTCTGCCTAGTAAATCAAATAACTATTTTCTCCAAGCGGCAGAGATAGTGGCTTTAAAAGGCAGAAAAGGTGTACTTTTACTGCCTAGGCAATGCAACGTTCCAAGAAATTCTAATGAGAATAGTAATCAAAATTGATACTGACATTGAGTGAACACAAAATGATGGTTTTCAATTAAAAAATTTCACAAAACTGGTTTTATATCATTTGGAGAAAAAATGTCATGTTTCACACGGCAGCAAATGTAGTTGACTGCCTCGGCTGATTTCCTAGCCTCGCTACGCTGGGCTGTGAACTATCAGTCGCGGCAGGCAATCTACTATTTTTCTGCCTAGTAAAACAAATAACTATTTCATGTTATACAGGGTGTGTCAAAAACACGAAATGTATGAAAGTTGCTTTCTTTTGAATGGAATATATCATTGCATTTTTAGATTCTCCCTTAAGATTCATCACACTTGTGGTCTAGCGGAAATGATAAAACAGAGGTATAGGGTGTTCAAAATGAAGATTTTTCAAATTAAATTTATTCATTATTGTTCAATATGGCTTCTTTCTCCCTATCTCAACTTTTGATTTACTATCTACTGACATTTAATTGGAACAGATACAGGGTGGTTCATGATTCTAAACATCCTGATGGATTTGTTTATAAGTTACACTCTGTACCTAGTTTTGTTCATCAAGAAAATTCGATTGTTAGTTTCATAAATAAATTATTCAAAAATGACTTATTTGAGGAAGGCGGAAAAATCACTATGCATATAACATGGGAGTAAAGTACTTTCCTCCCTCATTATGAGTATGAATTTTACGGACGCATTGTTCAAAATTGAACTATGATAGGCCATTCAAAAAAATTGTCGCGGTGGTCATAACTCAACGTGAATCACCCTGTGTGTTCTATTTTCCCTTATAAATGTGGCAGATTGAAATTAAAAATAAGCCATCTAATTTTCGAATAATGGATAGTTTGGCTAAAAATAAACTTATTCTGTACTTTATGAAAAAAAATATCTGCAAAAAGTGGAAAAACTAATTATAAACCATGCAAGGTACAGAAAGCTGTATCGACTGGCGTCCCTTAGTTTGTTTGACTCAATATAAATGTCTTCTGCACCTTGGTATACAATATAATTACTCATCCTGGTCACCTAGATACACCAGCATATGATATCATTGGATTATTTTATATGTTATTGCAGAATAAACACCTTATCATAATTATGATAAACATCAGACATTGAAAACATTATTTCATTTCTTAATAAAACACAATAATACTAACATCAGACTTGCATTTTATTGAAACACAGGTCAGTTTTATAATAAAAAAAAAAAGATAAATTATGATCTGGGTCTCTCCTTCTTTTCTTTGTATAATGCTAGTAGTGAAACATTAGCAACTTTGACGACCTGAAATGAAAATTACAGAATTAAAATATGTACTTGAGAAAGAATAAAGTTTGGTGCATTATTCATTTCAAAATCAGTAATATGGATGAATCATAAAAATCATAGGATTGGCTCCAATTTTTCTCATCATGTAAATAAATGTTTTCACATTTTAGTAGGTACTGTTTCACCACTTTTATAAAATATGTAGGCATTGAAATCACCAGATTTCAGCTCAGGTTACAAAATTAGTAGTAGTAGAGAGTAACTCTGGCTCAGTTATTCATGATATTGACTTGTGACATGTTTATAATTTTCGTTTCTATTTTTTCAAGCGGAAACCAAAAAACTTGAGACGTTTCTGACTGAGACATTATTGAGGCACTTTTTTACAAGGAACCTAATACTTTCATTGTATTTTTCATGACGTTCTTGATGCCAAAGTTGGAACTCACAACTTTGTTTTTTTCTAATGGGCGCCATATTGGATTTTTGTATTTTTGAAAAGAATTGTTTTTTCTGATTACAATGATGTATCACACGATATGATCAAATCTTTCCTGTTGATCGAAATTGTGAAAAAAACATTTTTGCGAAGATGAGTGCTTTGGAAAGAACGCCAACAGTTTTGTTTGACAAGATGAATTTTGACAGTTTATTTGAATTCGGATCTTTTGAAAATCAAATCTTCCATAGTTCCCCATAAATAACAATCCAGTGGAGAGAGATCAGGTGACCATGCTGGCCAACGTATGTGTCCGTTGTTGGAAATTACCTTGTCAGGGAACATATCTGACACTCGGCAACCCTTCTTGCGTTATTTGGATAAGCTTAGGAATTCAGCAGCTCTGACTTCTGTTCACATATTCAATTGAAATGTCAAAATTTAGTTTGTTGAATAAAACTGTTATCCTTCCTTCCAAAGCAAAAATGGGGTTTTCCCAATTTTGATCAACAGGAAAGATTCTATCATATCGTGAGACACATCATTGTAATAAAAAAAAATAATACTTTTCAAAAATGCAAAAATCCAATTTGGCGCTCAGAACAAAAAAAATTGAGTGTAACTTTTGACATCAAGAACGTCATGGAAAATACGATGACAAATTCAGATTCCTTGTGAAAAATGTCCTAGTCAGGATTTTCGCTTGAAGAAATAAAAACGAAAATAAAAATTTTTCGTTTCCTTTGAATAGTTCCAAAACTGAAAATGACACATCGAATTTTCCTGCAGATAAATGTTCGGCATGAAAATGCGCAGCTTTGCCCTAATTTAACCGACCTCGTATCTCTTATAATTTTAAATTTTCTTGCAGATAAATGTTCCTCATAAAAATGCGCAACTTTGCCCTTATTTAACCGACCTCGTATCTCTTATAATAACGGAGATCCCCATGGTGGAGCTTGAAAAACGGACACAGGGTGTGAAATAATAATCATATTTTTATTTTATAGAAATGAGGAGAAAATCCCAAATAATCAAGAAAAATGGGAAACATTATTTAGAAATAATATAAAATCAATGCCGAACATTAATGTATGATTAACTCATACTCTACACCCCAAAGGCAAAAGTATGCGGGGGTGGTTGACCCCCGATCCAGCCAAAATGTTCGGCGATCATATCAACTTGAGTATTTGTGAATGAAAAGTCCCATTATGGTTTGAAGGAAAAAAAAAACAAGACACTTCTTTTGTTTTGATGTGACTGAAAACCTTCATATGAATTATATGAAAATTCACATATAGGTGTTTGAAACCATGAAGAACAATATCATGTTATGATGTTTTCTTGCAAAAAAAAAATCGTAATATGATTTCATAAAATATTGCTCAATTTTTATTAAGTACAATACAAACACATGGCAATGTCCAAAATGAAGTTTATTACTGAACAGCTGATATACAGTGTGTCCCACTTACCATGCTCACCATGGGTATCTTTTTAACGGTGAGAGATACGAGGTCGGTTAAATGACATCAAATGTGGAGTTTGTCAAGGCCAACTATAATGTGAAAAAATATTTTGATAAAATCTATTCGTTTTTGTTTTATATGCAAAAAACAGATTTTGATCATTTTCATGTCTCCTTCATAACTTCTTTATTTATGAAAATATTCAAATAGGAATTTCACATTCTCATGGCAGTTTTTCGTGATTTCGAAAAAAAATATGAAATTTATACCAACTCTTCTAGAATTTGAGATATCAGCACCAACTTTAGTTTTTCGAATGTAGGTCATAGCTCACTATGACTTAGTTACAAATAACTTTTTTTCCTCTTTCAGATGATGTGTTGCAGTAATAGTTTTGTGTTGATAACAACGGAGTTATCGTCATTTATACAAAAACGAAAAATTATTTGGAAGCCGCCATCTTGAATTTATAAATTTCAACAAGAAATTACCAATTTTGAATGGAATCGGACCGAATCTTGTCCGCCATCTTGGAGCAGCCATTTTTTTTAATTTCAACAAAAATTCCATAACTCCGATCAACTTGAAATTCGGCAGGTGTTCATAATTTCGGTGACAATACATTATGGAATTTTTGTTGAAATTAAAAAAATGGCTGCTCCAAGATGGCGGACAAGATTTGGTCCGATTCCATTCAAAATTGGTAAGTGGGGGTTTTTAAGGTCGGAGATCATGATTTTTTCGTTAAAATTCATAAATTCAAGATGGCGGCTTCCGAATGATTTTTTTTTTGTATAAATGACGTTAACTCCGTTGTTATCAACACAAAACTATTACTGCAACACATCATCTGAAAGAGGAAAAAAGTTATTTGTAACTAAGTCATAGTGAGCTATGACCTACATTCGAAAAACTAAAGTTGGTGCTGATATCACAAATTCTAGAAGAGTTGGAAAAAATTTCATATTTTTTTCGAAATCACTTCGAAAAACTGCCATGAGAATGTGAAATTCCTATTTGAATATTTTCATAAATAAAGAAGTTACAGAGGAGACATGAAAATGATCAAAATCTTTTTGCGTATAAAAAAAATCGAATAGATTTTATCAAAATATTTTTTCACATTATAGTTGGCCTTGACAAACTTCACATTTGGTGTCATTTAACCGACCTCGTATCTTTCACCGTTAAAGAGATACTCATGGTGAGCATGGTAAGTGGGACACACTGTAGAGGAGGGGGCCATTTGAAATGAGACATGTTGTATATTAGCAGTCTTGCAGTTTCTGAGTAATTTGATTACATCTTGGTTATTCCTATTTCCTCATACTAAGTGTGCACCAGTAATGTAAATTGACTCAATTATCAACCAAACAAATCAAGATTTGATAAATGACATTTATGAAACCATAATCACATACAGTTTACATTTTGGATGATATATTTTATATCAATGAGAAAATATAATCTTAGAAAATATTATTTTCCACTTGATTTTTGACTCAATAGATAATTATCCCCTGTATTCAAATCATAATAATTCTTAGTTTGTAATTCAAATCAGATCATAGATAGTCAAAACAGACCATGATTTTCAAATAATTATAAACATACTTCAATAGATATTTCAAACTCACTTTGAATCTTACTCCAGGAATATCACCAACAGCATGACCTTTACGACCGAATCCTGCTACTAGAACTTCATCATTTTCTTCAATGTGATTTAGACAACCATCTCTGGGCACAAAAGCAGTAATCTTTTTACCATTCTTGATAAGCTGTACCCTCACACACTTGCGAATAGCAGAGTTTGGCTGCTTGGCTTCAACTCCTCTAAAAATAGATATCACTAACACATTTGCACACACAATAACCATATTTACATATAATTCCACTAGACTGATGAGAAGAACCAACACAACGCACAGAATTTTCCTGTGATTGGACTTCAAATCAACCATTCACTAGGAAATCCTGCGCAATGGATTGATCCAATTGAAATTGTTGTTGGGCACATATCAGAGCGTATAGACAATTGATAATATCTATCCAATGGTTCAGAGCCCTTCAATTTAGCATTTAATAAAATAAAACACTAGAAGCCAATATTTGATTTAGCTCAAGTGGTCTCAAAATGCATAATATTTCTCCAAGAATATTATATTCCTCAAAATAGTTGATAAAAAGTGATGGCCTGTTCATAGAAATAAAAATAGCTTATATTTAAAATTTATTTTCAATTTCAACTCATCTAAAGAGTTCAAGCATCCCTCTCACTAAATTGCATTCATACAGTGATTCATGAATAATTTATTTTGAAATTAAACTTGGCCCTCAAGTTTGGCTTCGAAAAAAATGAAAAATGGAATACCCCATTGGGGTCATGTGACTTCAACTACATGTACAATTTTTTTTTCAAATTAATCCCTGAAAATAGGCTTATTTGTGATAGACAGATAATCTTTATTTGTTCTTTGAAATCAAAGTCTAAAAATACACATAGAACTTGTCAATATATAATATGTAGGTACACAAAAAAATAAAATAATATAAAATAAAGATAGTACAAAGTATGAACAAAAAAAGAATGAATATTAACAAGGGTCACTAAGTTGTTTCTATCCCAATTTTACACAAATTCGTCTCAATTTCTAGAAAATGTCTGTAAAATTGAAAAACATCAACACCAAAAAAACTATTTCATTCTAGTAGCTGCATTATGCTACTAAACAGTCATGTATTATCTCCCTACTTCAAATTTCTATTATGTTTGATGCAAAATTGATGTATCGTCTATGATTCAGGAGTGAAATTTATTCAGTACTCAAATGATGCCAAAGTCATCTATCAAACTATCAGCAAACTACTTTACATACTTATCTAACCAAAATTTAGGTAAGTTTTGGTGAAGTTACAATGATTAAAAGAAATAAAAATATCAAGAACTAAAAGTTGCAATGGAATGTTCAAATTCAAGATACAAATTGGAATAGGGACAACTTTTCTCAGTAAACTTTTTTGAAATTTGAAATAAGCCTATTTTCATCAATTTGAAAAAAAAATTAACTTTTGACATGTAGCGAAAGTCATGTGACTCAGACAGAGTAGGCCATTTTTCATCTTTTTTGAAGCAAAAGTTAATGCCCAAGTTGAATTCAAAAATAAATTATTATTGAGTTTTTCCCATATTATTATGTCAACTTATGAATGACAGTGTAGAATACCAATCAATTAAATACTGAATAATTTTTATGAACAGACCATGACTCTTCACAAGGTGGATTCATGGAACATTCATTATAATTATGTTTTTCACTACATTATAATTATTGTATTTTCACTTCATAAAACTTATGACCATATTGACTAATTATTTGAGGTCATGTGTCCAGTATTCTAGGACTATTTCAAAATGACTATTATCTGCTGGCACTGCTGGCAGCACTTTTGTTGCCAGTGCCTATTACCCTGTGCAAGGCTACAAATTCATTGTTTTCTACTGACACCAAATGGTCATGTGGTGCTAGTAATATTCCATCTCCTCCATGAAAAACCTAAATGTGTGATAATAATGATTACTTTCTTTGTGCTGTTTGTTGTTCAAGTTTTTTTAATGATTTTTACAAATATAAACAATTTTGCCATTTCAAACCTAAAACCAACTAATGAACAAAAACTCATATGATGTTATTATATAATTTGATAATAATATACTTCTTTTCCTGAAGATATACTCTCTTTTGTGGTAAAATGAATAGATATGAAATATACAGTCAATTTGTAAAATTATGTGAGACACAATATCCTTGGGTGAGGAATAGTCTGACCTCTCAAATTGATGGTATATCAATCTCTGCAATACATACTAGGAATTGATGTATTTCATTGTCACTGCTACTAGAAGTTATTAATTAATCAGTTTGATACATTATTCAGGTATTATTCTAGAAGTACTAGAGCTACTGCCATCATCATCAGATTCATTAGATGAAGAATCTAAAAAATGCAGTAACCGGTAGAATGAGATCATTCATATTTTCATTGCTAGATATTCATTCTGTTATTCACCAGTAATAGCACCTAATAGTAGTTTACTGAAACTCAAATCATTCTATTATTACTGACTGTTACTAGTATATTCAGTAATAATCCAACTTGACCAATAACCTATATCTAAGGAGAATAACTGATGGTTTTGTGGAGAAAATGGTCACCAATGATCTAATCTTGCAAAAGAACTATAATGTAAAATAAAGCATGAATGCATTCTTTAAATTGACTTTTCAACATTCTTGATATTTTAATGAAAATGTAATTCAAATTAACATTTCATGCATCTGCCTTCTAGTTTTACAGTTAGAGAAAAAGAAACTTACACTTTTTCAAGTACAATTCCTTTGGCATGTGAAGCTCCTCCAAATGGGTTAGCCTTCCAGCGAGTACCTAAATGAGCTTTTTTGTAGTCCTTGTCAGCCCACCTTTGGTCCCTACGATGGTTCACATGTTTTCTGGCGGTTTTCAATCCACGGGGTTTACCTTAATGTTGAAAGCAATTCAATTAGTTAACATAAAACATACTTGGAAATTCAAGAACAGCATAGATCTGAGATCATTATTAAGTAGGTTTGAATCCGCCGACATAATTATTCAAGAGGATGATCCAAGATATGAAATTTCAGGCAACACAATTTCCCGGAAGTTATCATCTTTCAGATTGAAAACTGATGTTCATTTAAAAAAAAAATTATCTGGTTTCAGTTAATCACTATAATAAACCTACTGATTGAACACTACACACAATTCGTTTCAATAACTCGAGATAATGCCACAAAAATGAGAAAATAACGCGTAATTCACACTCACCCATGTTGACTGATATAAAATTCTGAACGAAAAGAAAGAGTAAATTTCAACTTTGAAAGATGACAGTGATAGCAGGCATACCAACCGGTTAGAACCAAACAAATATTTTCAGTGACACATCGTTGTCTCCGGGTAGAACTGTAAAGGGGTGTTGGCTTCATTCTGACAGGTAATGAAATAGAGCTTGATCCTGAACGAAAACATCAGTGAAACCAGGGTGAAACAATATCGGTAATAATCAGTAGTGATAATATTCAATCTGAACTAGCACTGAACTTTAATCAGTCGACATGGGTTCTTTCAATTTCAAAACTATTATTACTAATACGCAAACAAACCGCCTAGAAGTGTTCAAGTTGTTACCGTCAGCTGAACAGAGTCACTTTGCTGTGGGTGCCTGGACACCAGGGTGTGGAGGGTAACGAGAAAGCCGACATCCTCGCCAAACAGGGAACCGAATCTGTGTTCATAGGACCAGCAGAACCATATTTTGGGGTCACCGCAAGTGCGGCGAAAACAACTATCTCGGGCTGGGCGGAGGGAAAAACACTCACGTACTGGTCTGAATTACCAGGATTAACTCATTTGAAGGCGTTCCTGCCTGAACCATCGGAAAAAATAACCAGGCAGATCCTAGAATGAAGCACATTTGGCTTTACCAATTTAGAACCTATCGATTTCAGACAAATCTCACCCAATTCAACCATGAACTTTGTAAAAAGATGTGGATTGTACGGTGAACTGTAATCTCTATGGGTGAGCCACAATAGACCCATCTGGGGTCGCAGTGGAGGGGAGGTATTTCGAATAGATAACCTCAAGTTATGGAAATATTTGGGCAAACTCACGTTTTTTACTCTCGAAGTGGAACTTCACGACCAATTATTAGGAGAAGGAAATATCGTAGGAAATGAGTGATGGCGCGTTCACATGCTGGCTTTTCGCCTTTTGACTAACAGCGTATCCTCATCTCATTGGCCGATTCGTCAGAAAGCGCTTATCGAGGTCATAAGCTAGAAAGTCGGTTTCAGTCCGACTTTTGCGGAAAAAAGCCCAGATCGTTTGACAGGACCACACAAATATTGACAAAATGAATACATATTGGTGCTATATCATCATATTATGCAGTGTGGAAAACAGTACTGGAAAAACACTCCTAAAAATGTGATAAATGTGGTTTCTGGAGGACGTACATCTGAAATTTAACCAAATATGTGGCAGTCACTTTTCCAACTTTCTTAAGCGGCGTTCACAACCAAACTTTTTACGTTTTGCTTTTTACGTTTCGTATTCTGATTGGTGAAGCAAAATCTGTGATTGAAATGACGCAAAAAGCTGAAAATATTCAGCTTTTTGCGTTGCAAGAAGCCATCGTCTGTGGAAATAGTAAAAATAGACGAATAATATGGAACATTCTGTAATAATATGGAAGTTATGATAATGTTTTCATGATTTTTTCGTGAATCCACAGAAGATAGGTATATTGTTCAATTCATTATTTTCATGTTGAAGATTGATTTTTCTCTTCAAGTATTGAATAAGGATCAATATTCGTCACCGCCAGTTCTATCAATTCAATATCATTAATTATCTGATCAATATTATTGGTATGATTATTTACTTCATTTCAGAATGAAAAACAAATAACAAAACCAAGGCAACTGAGCCATAAAAAGTCACGTTGATTTTTTGTTGTTGTGAATGACATTTGCATTGGTTTAGTTCACGTTTAATTTCAGATTCTGCTTCACCAATCAGAATACGAAACGTAAAAAGCAAAACGTAAAAAGTTTGGTTGTGAACGCCGCTTTATGTGAACAGTGCGCCTGTTTTATTCAAGCTTTCTGCTGTAGGCATAAGCTGGCATGTGAACTCGCCATGAAGAAGTATATTTATCAGCTCTACCTAAAGACGTAAATTGAAGTATTTGTCATCTCAACAGGGTGCGGACAGATCCTCGTCTCCTCTCACTCTAATTTGTGAAACAGTTATCCATCTTTATTCATTACGGAGATAAACACTAGATTTCTGACATTTGTTGTTTTTTAGGTTATATTGAGGACATTGGCGTCTCATACGTAATTTCCACATGTGATTTCTCATTCAACTCTACATATTATATCCAAATAATGTTGATAATTTTCGGGTGAGCAAATTTTTCTGAAAATTTAATACGTTTTACCAAATGGGACTGTTTTTAGGCGGTACCTATCAATAAATTAATCTTGATTTCAGACTATAAGCCTTAGTCGAGAGATGGTGAAAAATGTTATATAGGTATTCTAACTAATGTGCTCATATGTCATGTTGGGAATCATTTCTGCAGTTTTTCACGAACACTTCATTTTTCCTCAATGTAGGTATAATTTTTTAAATGGTAGGGTTAATGCTCCGTTTCAATCAAAACTGTTTCTACTAAAATGCATCCAGAAACTTGTGGAATGGATAATTATGGGCATATGTGATTTCGTATTGGTTGTACCTCGAATATTTTGCTGATGTATTGACCTATTTTCCCCATTCGGTCACTTCACTTTCCATGTTCTAAGTTCATTTGCATTTGATGGAAAGCTGAAAAATTCAAATTTGCCATCCAACTGATTGATACAGCCTAAACGCAGCACTTTTTTCCTTCCTTCCAAAACAGAATTGAATAATATGTATCAAGATCAAGTATGAAATTGAAATTTTGTGAGATCTCTTTCAACGTCTATGAATGTGACGTGACAGCAATGTCATGTCAGGGACACCAATCACGAAACCAAAGTCACTATATCCGTCGACTAAACATACAAGTTGATTCTTCGAAAAAGAAATTCCAACTTCCAATTTCATTCAATAAATCGTCGTCATTTTGAATGAATATCCATAACACGGTTATCAAAGCTCTGAATTCGAAAATTCCGAAAATATTTCGAGAGAAAGCATCGATTAAGAGGATACATGTGAGAAAAAAAAATAAAAAAATTATCTGTTCAAACGATAAGGTGACGACCACGATGCATATTTACACCCATTCAGTTATCACCCTGTAGCAATGTTATCTGGAATTACAGAAGTTTCATATTGGCACAACAAACTGTCAAGAGATTAGGCTGGCTAATCATAGGTGAAAACCGATTTCAAATTGGAAAGGAAACTCGGTGAGTATTCTACTTTGAATTCAGGCTATATTTTGGACCACGACGTTATCAATGTTGAGCAGTTCAAATGTGCATATTTAACATGATTTTATGTAGTTTCAATAATAGTTGTAGCTAATATGATACACATGCTATGTCAACAAAAACTTTTGGTTCAAGCGTTTATTGATATTACATATATGGTTCCATGACTCCTGCTGTAGGTCCTGTGATTTTGTGGTGAGGTGGTGATTCACTTGTCAGTCTGTCGGCTGTCACGTCACAGTCACGACCACAGAATTGAGTTTATTGTCAATGACATGAAAAATGAAGCCAATGATGATTGATCATCTAAAAGGATGAAGGTTTTTTGTTTTTTAATCTCGTCATTTTGTCTATATAATTTAATATACAATTAATTCTATCTTGTAATGTTGTGGACGATTTCTGCCCATTGGCCACCCACCGTAACACGAATGATTTGAATATGGTTCAGTATTGCCAAAGTATTTCCAGTAGTTTATATTAATGAATTTCTTCTTGTAGACAAGTGAACCAAAAGCATCCAGTACCCCAAAATTCGTAAATATCAAAAAACGCCCAGCTATAGGGCAACAAGAGGAATCAATACAAAGTCCTATATTAAATGATGATTATAGTAGTGATCATAGCTACTCAGAAGATGAGATCCATGAAAGCAATTCAATAGATGTGAATTACGAAAATAATTCTCATCCTCATTCAAAAGTTGATCGCCTCAATGATCTCACTCCAGGTAGAAATGGAGCTAGGAATAATAAATCATTTCTTGGATTTGATTTCAAATCGGGGACAGCAATTATTATTTTGCCAATTCTTATATGCCTGATGGTTTCACTCTATATGGTTGATGAGGCACCTTCAGTAGATTCAGATATAACCATCCACAAATTGTCACATCAATTCCCATCACAAATGGAAGATTTTTGGTTGAACATTGATGTGGCAGTAAGCGAAATCAAAAGATGGCATAAACCAAAGTCTGTGATTCTTCTGTATCAAGATGATGGATATAAAACTGTAGAAAGTATTGTTGAAAAAATCTCAAAGTATGCTGTTTGCCAAATAACTAATTGTTCATCCAAACCAGTTAACATTGATGGAATAAGCCTGGGAAAAAAAGATATTCTAGCTGACTATGGAAGAGTGATAGCTTATAACAAAGAACAATTGGAAACTTCTGGAGTCATGATTGTCAAAAATTTGGAAAGAGTACCTGGAAGATCTGCCCAGGCTTTCCACAGTTTGTGTGATGAACACAACCCTGTTGTAGAAAATGCACTATTCTTATTCACCATGAAGGTAAAGAGTGTTCAAGAAAACAGTATGAGCTCTATTGAGAACAATCTTCGCCATCTCTGGAATGATTTGGATGATGATAAATTCTATCCTTTATTCACTAGAATATCCAGTACAGTTTTTCCAGTGATGGAAGAAAAGTAACATGAAATTTATAACATGAATATTGTTTTATATATTTTTTTAAATATAATATGTGGAAAGCAAATTTTCTTGGTAATTTTCATAAGAAAACTTGCAGTATAGCATGACATGGCATAGGTATCAGCCCGGACTGGACCGGCGGGCAACCGGGCAAATGCCCGGTGTCAAACCGGGGCCGCGGTAAAGAATTTCGCAAGGCACTGATTCAATATGAATGTCGTTTCCATCAGCTTTGAATTTATTCATACCATTTATAATTTTTCAGTCCAGTCTATCGAAATAAGAGACGTTATTACCCAGATAACACCAACCATCGGCCCAACATTACTTTCCCGCCGTCGAGGTGTCCAGGCGGCGGCCAGCCGGCCCTAATACAATACACATTACTAGCTATTAAATTATTGACTTAGAAGTGCTACAGCGGCGACAAATTTCAATGCACCATTGATAGGAGCGCTCAGCCACCAACGTATATGCGCTTGCAAATCCCTTTCAAGGAGAGTGAGTTTTTCCAGCATTTCCCAAGTATCTGACCGCGAATTACAAACTATAAATGCGCACAGTTTGTGGCGCGCGGTCAGAAACTAGGAGAGTGCTCCAGAAATTCATCCTTCCTAAAACGGATTTGCAAGCGCTGGTAATGTGTACAGGGTGGCCAACTAAGGCTCTAGAGTTCGATTTCTCTGTTGTCTTGAGAGATACAAAAAAAAGTCATGCATCAAAATTGAAGTAATAACCGAGCTGCACATTTCAAAATTATTTTGGAATACACAGGGTGTTCCGTAAGGTCACAGCACATCAAAGCTTTGTTTTTTTCATTGGAACACCCTATATTTAATTTCATTTTCGACTTCTCCCTGAAGATCTGATTTCAACGACCCATCATACTTAGGGTCTAGCAGTGAAAGTTACTGACATATAGGGTGTGCAAAATCGAGATTTTCCAAGTTCAGGATTTTTTTCTGGCGAAACTGTTCATTATTCGTCAAAACGGTTTTCATGTCCCTATCTCAACTTTTCACTCACTATCAATTGGTGTTCAATTGACATTTAATCAAAACAAATTATAAATTTAGATTTTTTGACCACCTTGTATCAATTTCAATTGAACACCAATTGATAGTGAGTGAAAAGTTGAGATAGGGTAATGAAAACCGTTTTGACGAATAATGAACAGTTTCGATAGAAAAAAAACCTGAACTTGGAAAATCTCGATTTTGCACACCCTATATGTCAGTAACTTTCACTGCTGGACCCTAAGTATGATGGGTCGTTGAAATCAGATCTTCAGGGAGAATTCAAAAATGAAATAAAATATAGGGTGTTCTAATGAAAAAAACATAGCTTTGATTTGTTGTAACCTTACGGAACACCCTGTATATTCCAAAATAATTTTGAAATGTGCAGCTTGGTTATTACTTCAATTTTGATACATGACTTTTTTGTATCTCTCAAGACAACAGGGAAATCGAACTCTGGAGTCTTAGTTGGCCACCCTGTACAAGGGCCGGCTTGCAGTCGCCTGGACATCTCGACGCCGGGAAGTGTTGGCTGTCATTTCTCAAGTAGATCGGCGTTATCTGGGTATTGAAGATAAAGTAAGACTGAATATACTTTTTTCTCCGATTGGCAGCAAATATTGATTTTGCTGACACATATCAATCAGCAAAGTATTACTTTTCCTGCCTAGGCAGGAAAGTGGTTACTTTGCTGATTGATATGTATCAGCAAAATTAATAATCCATAAATCAGTTATAATTTCCTTCATATTTCATCCAAGACTTCTCCGGCAACAAATTCAACTCTATATTTTATGCCACCTCCCTCATTTCTGGAGGTGTAAGTACTTCCAGGTCGCTATCACTGTCCATTATATAATAATTTAAATAATCCGATATTTTTTCGCACAACTATCAGAAATTTCATGTATTGTCAAACTATAATCATTATGGACATTTCCATAGCAACCAACCATTCCAACAACTGCGATTTCTATCAAATTTTATTTTAATTGAACATTACAGGAAAAATAAAGAGATATACATCATTATGAACAATCGGAGAAAAAATTATATGTTCAACTCAGCAGCAAAGTAGATTGACTGCCTTAGCTGGATTCCTAGCCAATCTACTACTTTGCTGCCTAGTTAAACAAATAACTATTCCATAGCAACTTTTTCATAGAACCATACATTTTTTTAATACGGTCCTGACGTGTCCTGATTGTGCGATCACAGATTCTGGAAGCTTTTTTCAGTCTGAATACAATAATGTATGAATGTATTATGCAAAATCGTTTGAATGTGTTTCGCCTCAATTTTAGCCATCATCAATGTTTCCTCGAAATTCCGAAGAAAAATATCGTCGCAGTTTCACTTAGTTCTGATCGATTTTCAACGCTAACTCTTTAGTAATACATACCTTATAGCATAATATCGTCTTATTCTGTATTCTATGTATATCTTTTCGATAGAACGAATTATTTCATTATTAAACTTAGAGAAACTGGAGACATCTAAAAAATAATTGTATTTGTATTCATTTTCCTTCTAATGTCATAGGTAATAAGATTTTTGAAAGTAGCTCTGATAATTAGAACCAGTCAATAATGCATTAATGTGTTGACTCAAAATTTTCTTCACAATAAATGAAATTAATCATAATTTTTCTTTGGAATTTCGAAAAAACATTGATGATAGCTAAAACTAGGTCGAAACACATGCAAACCTCTCTGTGTAATACTTAGTTGCAATCTTAGTTGTATTCAGAGTTACAAAAGCTTCAAGGATCAGGACCGTAGAGATGAAAAATACATCATAAATCTATTTTTTTTTTTTCAGATTTTTTATAACTAAAAACAAAAAAAAACAAAATTCAACATTTTTCGATATAACTGAAAAACTAAATGATTTTGAAAATTTTTGACGGCTGCTCTGGATCCGCAACTTTTGCCCCACTGAACCAGTCATAGATTAACGACTTTTAATCTTTGATCATAATGATGAAATTTCGATTATTTATACCCAAGACGGACCTGAAAATTGGGGGCCGGTAAAAGAAAATGCCCGGTGGCAAAATAGTAGCCAGTCCGGGTATCATACAAAAGTTATTTTAAACACCTTAGTTTAATAAGATTTTTAATATCAGTTATACCTACAATATAATATACATTTCACAATAATTACCAGGAACCATTTTTTCACTATCTTTTCATTAAAATTTCAATATTGAATAATAGGTATTCTACATAGAGTTGAATGGGGAAATAACTAAATGCAGAGGTTTCTCAACAGAAGTTGAACATATTAATTACTGAATATTAAGTGTACATATTGCATATAATCCTCTACTAATTCAGTTGGTCAGTAAATCAGTGAAGATGACATTTATTTTCTCAACTTCCTTTTGACAATCGAAAAAAAAACTGATAATATCTCCAAATTCCATAGAGTTTATGAATAGCCCTTTATAACTCCTAAAATGGGACCCTTTATTAAAGTATACCTATGTAATTTAATGATGTTTGCCAAGCACTTGTGAGCGCCCTGATTAGTGTACAAAATTGAGTATTTTCTGTTTTGAAACCAACTTTATCCTTTATATTTTGCGATAAAAGATGCAGTTTTCCAGTAGTTCCCTATTTTTGTAAACTAATACCCCGAAATTCAAGATTGCATCAATTTTTTTGCTATTTCTGCAAAACGGATTTATGGGGATTTTTAATAAGTTAATATAATAGTCCCTTATGAATACTATCTCGTTGAGAAGCATCAGTATTTATTTTTTTACATTCTTTAGTTATAATCAAACTTAGAATGGGGTACAACAGGAAAATAAACGTTCTAAGTGAAAAAAACGGAAATGATATTTCCTCAGATCATTTATATGTACATAATTAACAGTTATTTTATGAGAACAATAATTGCAGTTATTTCATAATACATAAAAAAATATAAAATCACACAGTCTTCTGTAAACAGGTCTTTAAAATACAAATCACTGAAATTTCTAATGAATAACAGCCTAGTAGACTAGAGTTAGCAAGTTCAATGTAACATTAATATAATTCAAAATAAGTCTTATTGCTGAGATCTACATATTATGGCACCATTCTTTTTCAAATTACAATGAAACCCATTAGTTCACTTTCGATATACTTACCTATACACTCAGTCTATAATATCAGTGCAGTGGAAAAAGGTATATTGAATATGACAGAGGATTGATTTCAGTTCTTTTGAGCTAATACCTGCATAAAATTATTATGTTCGATTTTTTTCTAGATAGGATGAATGTGCCAGTTGGCCGACCAGCGCCAGTGCATAAAACTGTCTTAACCCTTTGAGACCTGATGTGCATAATTATTATGCACACAATTCTTATGAATTATTTTTGGTTATAAACATGAATTGTGTGACGTTCAGACTAGATGTACATAATAATGCATATCACTTGTGATATGCTAGACTAGTATCGCCATCTCGTGAGAATTTTCAGAATCACCACTTCTTGACAGTTCGGTTGTTTCCATGATGGAGCGTACGCGAGGTAAGTGAAAAGTTATCTCTTATCATCGATGAACTTTCTTAGAAAAATCAACTGATTTTGATATAATTTTGCAAATGAAGCTCAGAAGTATACAGATGAATGAATATTTGGTCAAGATCTTTCATCCAGCTGTAATAAAATAGTGCTTCATTATATGCGGCACAATTGGTCATAACAGAAGTATACAACAAAAATTTATCTAATTATCAGGGCCCATAATTCTGCACAATTGGTAATAATAGATATTTGATTTTTGTTGGACAAAGATATTATAATCCAGAAAATGAAGCGGATGCCAAAACTTAATTGGAATATTGTTCTGATTTGGAGTTGAGAAAAACATTATATGTATTATGTATATGATTTAAAAATGATTATCTGATTATCTAATTTTTGTTTTTCTTAGTTGCTCTTTCATAATTTTCCCTGCTATAAACATGTATGTTTCTTGGGAATAATAATAAAGATATATAATGAGTTCCATGTTCCTACCTCGAATATCGTACGTATAGGAGC